TGTCCCACGCCAGCCCCATTGTGTGCCCCAGGTGGTGGGACCAGCTGCGTATGCCACGGCTTAGGCTGCTCTCCATGCCTGGGCCAAGGGACCTGCCGTGGGCTTAATAAAATCCTTTGGCAGACTGGATCCAGCTGGCGGGCTGTATTTTGCCCGCCCCTGGCAGGCTGTTTTAAAATGCAGCTCACACTGCATGGTTCTCTCATTTGACTTGACTGGTCAGTCTGGAAATTATCACAGCATAAGTTTATTTCCCCACCACCCAATCCTGTCTCAACAGTGTGTGCATGTTGCAATGTATTTGCCCTTCTAACTTTCATAAAATGAGCTTGCAAAAAAAAAAAAAGCTGTCCCAAAAATGACTCTGTTGCTGAGCTACTGCTATTGACAATGACGTTATCGAGCAGAAACTGGTGATGTAACATTCAGTAGGCTCCAGGGTATCCCAGGATATAAACCATCCACTCATTTTCTTTCATAGGTAGCAGTAATTTTAGCACAAGTATTTTTCTTTGAGTACTCACTTTGAAGATGAGAATAGATTAATTTTACGTAAAATTGGCAGGAACCTCTTGAGTCTATTCCATTCTACTTAATTTCTAGCAAGGACTGTACTGTTTCTTTGCAGTTTTTCTGATCTAGATTAGAAGCTTTAAATAAAAGTTTCTACTCTGTGACTTGAACTTCTTGTTCTTATAGGTATTTGGTGTCAGTGCTCTACATATGGGGACACTGAAAGGCAAAGAAATGGTTCACCTGGTATTGTACAGGGACATGACCTAGGGTTTTCTGACAGTCGGTCTTGAACCAAGTTGAGGTGCTTGGCTACTAGCACCTTGGCTTTTAAATTGGTGGTTCTCAACCTTTTTGAGGCTTGAGGCACCCCTTAGAAAAGGCCAGCTCTTAGTTTTCACTCTTTTTGACAACACAAAAAATGGTCTAATATGTTTCTATAGCAAAGAACTCAGACCACAGTTATGGATTTCTGTTTTAATCTCTGGGTTTATCTTGTGAATCATGTTTGCAAACCTAACAATGCTAACATTGTATGGCACCCTGCATCACCCTTGAAAAAACCTCGAGGCACCCCAGGGTGCCCTGGCACCCTGGTCGAGAAAAACCTCGAGGCACCCCAGGGTGCCCTGGCCCCCTGGTCGCCAATCACCACTCTAACCTAACCTCGCTTTCCAGCTACTTACTGAACAGTATTTTGAGATTTTGTTTATATTTTGAGATTTCTGTAAAAATAGTATTTTTTTTCTTTTCTTTTTTAAGTGAGAACAGAGATGACTTAAGCTACCGTCCAGTCCCTGACGCCAAGGGCAGGAGCAGGAAGGGGGAGGCCAGAAGGATGGCTATGCCTAGGAGCTTACGGCGGCAACCTGGAAACAGGGCCCTTGCGTCCATTTGCACTCATCATCACATTGCTGTGTTCCTGCTTACCTTTTTCAGGTAGGTCAGCTGCTCCTGGATCTGTCTGGTGTTTGTTCACCCATGTGAGTTGGGGGTAATGGACATATGGAGAGGAGGAAAAGGAGGGTAATGAGAATGCCTTGTACTAAATTCTTTACAAGCAAAGGAGCAAGGCTGTAGAGATTGTGATGCCAGAGCTTCTAGTTTGTTGAGATAACTAAATGCTCAGGCACACAGTACTTGGTGTTGGATGTTGCTGTGAACAGTACTCCTGATGACGGACAGTCTGAACTGCATTTTCCACTGCATACAGACTTATGTTGCAAAATACCAGAAACCAGAAGTTGTTGAAGAACCAGTGTGGTGGGCAGCTTCCCAAAACTGGCAGAAAGTAACCTACTACTGGGAAGAGCTCTAATGAGTGGTCTACCCAGCAGGAGAACTATATGACTGCTAGGAGCTCTCTTCCCTTCTGTATTCTGTATCCAGTTTTCTAGGCAGAGAAAGAATATAACTGGTAGATGTTCTACAAAAATGTGATGCTGATGACATTCACTTCTGGGCCTGGTATTCCTTCTTCATAAACAAAATTTAGGGTATCCTGCAGTAAATTAGGCCACTTCTTTTCCCCCTCCCCTTAATTTCCCAAAACAGTCAGAGCTCCATTTTTGTCTGGCCCTATGAAAGACTATCTGAATCTTGAGCCGTTTTCCGTTTTTGTTCCAGTGATGGGCTGACAGCCTCTTTGTTTTCTTTCCCTTTGATAGTTACTCCCTGCTCCATGCTTCCAGAAAGACTTTCAGCAATGTCAAGGTCAGCATTTCTAGCCAGTGGACCCCTACTTTCCTCAACAGCACTGCCATGGAACTCCAGCCATATGAGGTAAGGACAGGCAACTCTCTCTCTGCACCAGGGGTGCCTTTGACTAAAATGTTTGAAGCCTCAGGTGACTGACCACAGTCATCCTCAACCTATAGACTGTGGGTTGTCACTGGTTATCAGGGTCTTTCCCACTGGGCCATTAAAGGAACTTCCTGAGATGTGACAGTTAAAATGTTAGAATGAGGGTGGTGCATCTAGAGGAAAACTTTTGTACTATAGCCAGTAGAATGAAAACAAGAAAAACACTGTCTGTGGCACTGGGAGTTGCACCTCAGTCTGTTTGATCTGTTGCATCCCAGCTTTGGTGGTGTTAGTGGTGGCATTTTTCTTTTCTAGGCTGGCCAGCATTGGAGGGAAAGAAGAACTGTCCCAAGATCCAACCTGTTTATACATAGCAGCCATAATATTCTTTAATTTTGTGTCTAAACCTAGGCACACACAGTTGTCCTGCTTTTTCAAAAGTGCTGAACAAACAGCAGTTCCCAATGTCTTTTTATAGTAAAATCAGTGTGAGTTTCAACAGTATTTGGACTTAGTAAATATACTGCACTTGCCTGCTTCCCTGTGCAAATGCTTATTTTCCCTCCCATGCTTGTATGCAACTCCCATTAATTTGAAACACTAACAGAGAGAGATCCTTTTTGTGTTAGGAACACAGGATTGCCATGCTGTATCAGCCTGTCTCCAACTGTGGCTAGCTCTAGATGCTTCAGGATGATAATACAGGGAGCTGCGCATTAATAACTTGTCCGCAAGGAAGTATTTTTTCCTAAATCCATTGGTGAGAGAGTGGCGTCTTCCAGACCTTTTATTCTTGCTATTGGTAATTTGGACTGGCCTTGTTATTTATAGAAATGGCCAGTCCTTTGAATGCTTGTGAAAAGGTGAAGTGCTGATACTTTTGTGTTTATAATGATTATAAACGGTAAACTTGTGATCTTCTACAGCTCTCTGGCTTACATATTTTTACTTGTATATAAATGTATTTATTTACATATGTTTATAAAGAGACTAGCACACATTGGTAGCTGTGAAACAAAGTAGTGTGATGTAATATTGTATCTATTAATTGGAATTGAACCACTTTATATATATGCTTAGCTTTCTTTGAGAGGAGATAATAAAATTATTGTGCTAGTAAAATAACATAGATCAGTGGCTTGAGGACTGCTTTGGTGACCAGAACACAGTCCATGTTCAGAATTGCTCACAGATCACTATGCACCCTTCTCTCACTTTTAATTGAGAAATAAGGGGTGACCCTATGCATTTGTTCACCAGAGCGCCCCAAGAGATGATGAGGTCGAATGGTTATAAACTCCTGCAAGACCGTTTCAGGCTGGACATAAGGAAGAATTTCTTTACTGTCCGCGCCCCCAAGGTCTGGAACAGCCTGCCATCGGAGGTGGTTCAAGCACCTACATTGAACACCTTCAAGAGTAAATTGGGTGCTTATCTTGCTGGGATCCTATGACCCCAGCTGACTTCCTGCCCTTCGGGCAGGGGGCTGAACTCAGTGATCTTCCGAAGTCCCTTCCAGCCCTAATGTCTATGACATCTATGAAATGCGTGGCCAGGCTACTTGGTATGGTCTCTTGAACTGCCTGCCATGGTTTGGGGAGTTACTGATCTAGATGGTTTCTAGTGACCTCTAATGGCAGTAATTAGAGGTCTTTAGCCTTTTTTTTTTTTTTTTTAGAAATATGGGGGTATATTACATTTTTGGAAAACCTAATGAAAGAGAATTGTTGGTATGCCATAGCCTGGACAGATTTCATAAGCAGAGTAAGGGTAGGTATAACAAGTACTTGGATGGAAAGACTCCATGTACTGCCCTGGCTAAAGGCAAAGAAATGAAAAATGCATCTGTTGTCATTACAGAGCAAATAAAGCGCCAGTCACAAATCAGGCCCGATTGTGCAAACACATTTAAAAGAAAAAGGTGCCCAGAAAGAGTTTGAAAGAAACAAAAGTGCAGTTGATAAAGTGGAGTAAATGCCTCCTAGCACAGGAAATCTTACCCTTAAGGGTTAGTTAGTTATTTTTTCTGATTAACTAATTTTTTTTATCCTCCCAATCCATCCTGAAAGCTAACTGTTTTCAGCTTGTGGTCTATCACTGATGTAAACTATGGGATTACCATTTTCCTTCCTGGGTCAGATCACACTGAAAATAAAATTTAAATCCCCGTTTAAACACAAGCTAGCAATAAAGTCAGTCATTGAAATGCTTTGTCAATAGCACTTTCCCTTTGCTTTTTTTTGTTTGTCTTTCCTCCATAGTTGTGGGCTGTCACTTATCAGGTTACTTGTTTAATTTTTAGATTGAAAGTTCTAGGAGAGATTGTATGCGAGAGAGCCTGTACTTCCGTGGCATGTTTCTCAATCCTGATTTCTTATCATGAGTTTCGGAAGGTAGTTGAGGTACCTAGAAGGAGGCATTGAGAGCTTTTTGCAATAGACGAAGTCAAAGATAGTTTTGATTCATTCAGTCATGAAAATATTTTAACAGATAGGCTTTTGTATGTTTTGCCTTTGAAGCAGATGAAATTGTATTGCTTAAGAACAAAGTAAAACCAGGCTCTTCAGAGATTCATGATGTGACCTGTTTCTTTTCTAGCTCTGGAACAGTAGCCATTTATTTTCTTCTGCGGAAGAAGCTACTCTCTTCCTGGGGACTTTGGACACTATCTTTCTCTTTTCCTATGCTGTGGTGAGTAAAATATACTGGGGTGGAAATGGTGGGGCACAGTCACCTACTAAGTGGTTGGGGGTTTTTTGTTCAGGGAAAAGAAGAGGGGAGGAGAAAATCTGATGTCTAGGTGTGGCTGATACTAATGATGTTAGAGTAGGGATTGGCTATCTACCACCCATAGGCTGGATTTGGTCCAAAGGGCTTCTTTACTTGTGCTCTAGGGGGTGGCAGTGGTGAGGAGGCTCTATAATTAGAGTAGCTCTGAGAGCCACTCTAAAGTGCCCTCATCATCTTGTGGATTCAGTTTCCTGTGCTCTAAAATGGCAGCAGTGGTGCTTTAACTAAAGCTCATTTGACAAGCTTTAGTTAAAGTGGCCCACTGCCAATTTGAAGCATGGGGATGCTGAATACACAAGATGGTGAGTCTGCTGGAGCATGCTAATTAGTACACTCCCACAGACTCGATTAATCGAGTGTGCTTCAACACACTGTAATTACAGCGCATTAGAGCAGCAGCCTCGCACGACAGCAGGCACCCTAAATGATATTTATTCAGCCTGTGAAGTTGGGGTTTCAGTGGCAATTTGGCAGGGGAGACTTGGCAGTGCAGGTGACACTTTGGTGGCAGAGGGAAGTGGCAGCCTCCCTTGGGACTGAGCTACCTTAATTGGGTCTCTCCTCCAGAAAGGTTGCCAGTCCCTGGATTAAAGTGTTCAGGAATGTGAGCAGTATCATTCTTTCACTCTCGTTTCTGCTTTCCTACCACCATCCGCCAGATAAGTTATGTCTCTGAAGCAATCTACAAATTGGTTCAACAGACACCTATCCATCCATTTTAGAACTGCAAACTGAATGCCCCAAAAAGGAATAGCAAAAGATACTCAGCATATAATCCAGTTTAATATTTTCTTTCTACCCATTCACTTCCATGTCTTTTAGGACGTACGTCCAGTAAAGACATGGGCACAATTAAATAGGCTGTGCTGCTACATGTGTGCTACCCCCTGAATGAGAAGCAGGGTGGCTGCATGGTCCTCTGGGAGGCACCTTACAACTGATTCAGAACGCATAATTAGTGCACTCACAATGCTACATGAACACAACTGGGTCTGATTCCTGATTCCATGTCAGTGTGCATGGAGCAGCTCAGTGCATTTGATCCTGCCATACCTGCATGATGTGATAAGGGCACATTGATCTGAACTCTAAAATCTTGTCTTCAGTCTAAAAAAATTATGAAACAGCAGCATGTTACGCTTGCTACTATGGCCTGTTATGGTAATGAGCCAGAAAATAGAGAGGGTTGGTGAGGAAGGCTGAAAGGCCACATAAATATTTGTCTTTAGGTACATTATGCAGAGCTATGGAGGGTTTTAATAGGTTGCTTGTTAGTCTGTAGGATAACATGTGTTCTGTTCCTTGGTATAGCACAGATGAGCGGTAGCCTGTATGTCACATACTGGAGTCTCTCTCAGTGTCAAAACCTGGTAATTAGATTCTTGAGTTGAGTACCTTAACAGTAAGGGAGTGCAGCGGGGTGGGTGGCCACTGTGTGCACCCCCAGGGGAGGCATGGGGGGCATGCGACTCCTGGATTTGTGTGTGGGGTGAGGCCAGGCTGCCCGCTCCTGGCTTGGGGCCAGGGGCTATGCCAGCCTTTTCCCAGTAGGGGTGGGGTGGGCTTAGTTGTGCCAGGCGGGTGGTGATGGCTGTAGTGCTGGGAGGGGTGGCTACATGGAATTTTGGGGTGACTCTAGTCCCCTCAAGCCTCCCACCCCAGCACTGCCCATGCTCTGGGCACTGCTCTGCTGCCTTTCTCTCACATGGCCCAGCTCCCAAGGGAAAGGCAGCAGAGCAGAGTGCCATGAACAGGGGCGGTGCTGGTGGAGTTTGGGGAGTCTAAAGCCACCCCAACATTCCCCTCCTTTGCCCTGCGCACAAATTGGGGGGGGGGGGCAGCACATGCCCCCCATGCCTTCCCCAGGGGTATGCGCGCAGTGGTGTGGAGCTGCTTCCCCTCCACGCCCCCTAGATGAACTGCCCCCCAGGGCATGGGCAGCTGGTGCCTCCTGAGTCGGGGGGGGCACTTGTCCCCTCCAGTGGACAGTCAGTTGA